AAACACATTGTTCTCCAGAGTCACTTGTTCAACTTGCCGATACATTCTGACCGTATTTCCACCCTAGTGTTAAGCTCTGCCCCGTTCTCTTCTCTGTCCCCAGCACTTAAAGCAGTACCTGGCACACAGAAGACATTCACTGACCAAAGCAAAGAATGAACAGCTGCCTAAAATCACAGCATCTCGAGAGGTCCTGATTATACCACCAACCCTCCTGAGGGACATAAGTAAAGCTTTGCCACACAGTCCATTCCACCCAGCTCTCTTTGCACGCTACCAAGAGGGCTCCTGTGGGAGAAACCCCTGGACATGGGACTGCCAGGTTAAAACTTTGGTAGCTATTGCCGAAAACGTAGTGCCAACCTATTCTCCCGGCTAATGGGAGAGGTCCAGTTTCCTACACCCTCTGCCACCTAAGAGCTTTATTATGATGATAACTTATTTCTCCAGTGGATTAACCTTATTGAGTGACTCCACCCTTGATCATCCAATCTCCTTTTGTCCCTCCTGAGTAAGTGAGAGGATGGATTTTATTATTTCTGAGCAGCACTAGGGAGCCAAAATCCACAAATGGGAAGCTACTCTACAGACCATGAACAGAAACAGTTCACAGATGCAAAACTTTAAAAAATGTCATTACTTTCTGAAAATGGACACAATTTTTAAAAAACTGACAACTTCAAAACAATTATCCAGTGGCCCCTCTCCCAATACAAAAGAGAAAATTCGGACCCTAGGCTCCCTCCCTCACTGGGTGGCCAGATTTAGCAAATGAAAATATAGGACACTTAGTTAAATTTGACTTTCACATAAACAACATATAAAATTTTTAGTACAAGAACATCCCAGGCAATATTTGCGACATACTTATACTTCCAAAAAAAAAAACCGCCAAATTTGTTGTTTATCTGAAAGTCAGATTTAACCAAGCATCCTGGAGTTTATCTGGCAAGCTGACTACAGCCCCCGCCCAGTGTTTAAATATCACTGATTTTTAAATAGTAGCTGAGGCCATCTGCCCCCCACCTGGGAGACAGCCCCACCAACTTCCCAGCATTAGAGTTGCCGTCCTTCCAGAGCCACGGGGGCCCAGTTTCCTGCTGGTCTTCTCCCTTTGGCCTGTCTCCCACCCTCCCACCCATCCTTTCCAGTGGTGAACCTTTGTTGGGGGTATGATCAGCACAGGACCCTCAGCTGGCAGCCCCTTCAGGGATTGTGGCTTTGGCAGAGACACCTGCCTAAGGGCAGGCCCCGGGCCACACCCAGTGCCAGAAGGATGCTGAGGTCCTAAAGCCCAACCACTCCAACGCCAGGCTAAAGGGCTCCTCCAGCTCGAGCACCCCGAGGGGCCCTGTGGGGCCTGCATCAGAGCCAGTCTTCTCTCTCTACCCTTCCTGCTTTCTTCCCCAGCTGTCCACAGGCCCAGGGATCACTCCCTGGCCTGATGATACTCCCATCCTGGGACCCTGACCTGCCCCACCAGGTCTCCAGTGTCCACCCTCCCCCTCCAGTCCACAGGGCCCCTGGCTGGAAACCAGCCATAAAGTGTCCACAGAAAGTGGGCCTAGTGCTAGCCAATGAGTTTTTTTAATTTGGCTTTCCAGTACATTCTAGATTTTCCACATAAGCACATATTACTTTGGTAATTAAAAAATAATAATACAAACTTTTTTTTTCTTTAAGAAAAATGTAAAACCAAACTGAGCAGCCCTCCACCTACCTGACATGCCTCCACCTCCCCCATCTCTCCCCACTGCTTCTCCAGGGAGGACTCCCTCCAAATCATCAAATGCCAGCCCCCAGCAAGCTCCCCTGTCCTGCCAGGCCCACAGGCAGTTTCACTTCTCCACTGAAGTCTTTCCACTGCCAGCTTGTCCTTGCTGGGGGGTCATATGCAAATTCTAAATGGGTCCTTGTCTCCTTTAGGGAGATGAATGCTAAAAAGGTCCTAAGACTGGTAAGGAGAGAAAGTATATGATGGGGACCAACATTTGCTAACTCATTCCACAAGTAGGAGCTAGGCTACTCTGCCAGGCACTGGGGACACTGGGAGCAAGACACAGACCCTGCTGTCAAGGACTCCACAGATGGGGAGGGGGGAACCATCAAAAGACGGAGAGGATATTGTGTGAGGTGAGGTGAGCTGGGTGTGGGGAGGAGCAGTTCATGGAAGCTTCTGGAAAGAAGAAAAATCTCAGCAGACCCCTAAGGGTGAGAAGGGATGGGTAGGGAGTAGGGGGAGGGAGCGTGTTCTAGGCAGGGGAACAGCTTGTGCAAAGGCCTGCAGGTGAGAGAAGTGTGATTTATTTGAGGAACTGTAAGCAGTTCAGAGCAGCTGGAGGGCAGAGGGAGGGCGAGAAGGGAGAGGAGGCCCAGGCTTGGGGAGGGTAGCAGGGCCACAGGAGGGAGACTGCGCTTTGTTCTTGGGGCAGTGGGGAGCCACTGAAAGATACAGAGCAGGGAAGTGACAGATCACTTGACCTGCCTGCCACGCAGTAAGTGCTCAGAGACCCACTGATATGGGTGTTACCACTGTGAGCACCCACAGCCATCAGAGGCACTCGTAATCATGCACATACCAACTGCTGTGCACGGACATTAGCCATGGAGTACCTAAAACCTGTGTCTCCATGAAGACAACAGGCCCCCAGCAGCCAGGTCCACAGCGGCCTTACCCTCGCATTAGAGAATATATTAGGGAATAAGGGATTCTGGAGCCTAGGTTCCAATCCTAGCTCCTCTAATTTCAAACTGTGTCACCTTGGACACATAACCTCTCTGTGCCTCAGTCTTCTCATTTGTAAAATGGGAGTAAAGACAGTACCCACCTCGTTGGATTAATGTGAAGATTGAATGAGTCAATACATGAAAAATAGTTGAAAAGCCTGGCATGGGGCAAATGCTGTGCACTGTTAGTTTTTACTACTATTACTGCATCCTTTCCCTCAAGATCCTCAGGGCCAACCACTTACAGGCACTAACTAAAGCGCCCTCCACTTCCTCCCCCTAGCCCTGAAGCATCACTCCCTTACTCTCTCCATTACTAGGGGCAAGGACACAGCCAGGCCAGAGGAACTTCTGGGTTCAAGGACAACCGGGCATTGTGACCTGGGCCCGGGGCCTCTCCCTAGCTCCCTCAAGCCCAGTGGAGAGAGCACTGGACTTGGAGCCGGGAAGTAAGTGCCACCCTTGGCTCTACTGCTGACCCTTTCTGGGCCTCAGCACCCTCTCTGTAGGATGAGGAGAAGAACATCTCACAGATGTCTAATCAGCATGGCTGTCAAAGGAGCAACAGGGGCTGGGAAAGAGTTCTGGAAATGTCCATGTCCCAGACACAGGCCTTGTGGCTAGGCCAGAACCCTTGTTGGCAGCCTCCTCTTTTGGGCTGGGCTTGCTTCTTCACACAATAGTAAGATCTGTTCAGAGCTTGCCATAAGGACCTCAGAGGCTGAGGATGGCCTGGCTTGGGTCTTCCCGGATTCCCTGATGTGGACCAGGACTCTCTCAAGAGCTAGGAAAGTGACAGACACCAGTGGTCTGAGCTTAGCACCCAGGAAGAAAGTGCCAACTCAGGGCCCTGAGCCAGACCTTCACCCAGGCCTTCACTAAGCCTGGACCAGCCAGGGACTCAAACCAGGGGCCCCAAAAGACACTCTGGAGCCACTGGGACTGCTGTGTTTATCTCCAAATGCCACAGCTGCCCATGGCTTCCAGGTCCAGGATTGGCTTCAGTGGACTACCTGTTTTTGGTAGCTCTTTAGTCCTGGGGGATGGGAGGAAAGCCCAATAGGGCCCCCCCCCCTTCAGGATGCCAGCTATTTCCCAGAGTTCAAGTTGATTCATTCACTCATTCCACAAACATTTACTTGGTGCCAGACCCTGGTCAGGTGCAGGGGCGATGATAGATGAATCAGACACATTCCTACCCGAAAGCACTTCCAGTCTAGCAGGCGACAGGCAAGGCATAAATAACTAAACCACAAGGCAGACTAGGTTGGAGAACGCAGGGCAGGAGGCAAGGATCTCACTAGGGTATCAGGAAGCTGCTTGGAGAGGGTGGCTTGTGAGTGGCTTATGGACATGTGATGGGAAGGCCAGGTAGGTGAGGGATAGAACCTCCAAAATAATTGACAGACAGCTCTGTTTGCACCCCGCTATGCCAGAGCCAGGGCAGCATGAGTTATTTATGGTTGTGCCCAGAGAAAAGCGGCCACATGTGTCACTGCACGTGGGGTGCAAAGCAGGGCGGTGGAGGGTGGGGGGCAGCTGGGGCTTGAAGCTGGGTCTGGCCAAGCTCTGTGGTTTGCCACCGTGTCCCTCACACTCTGATGACCTTTTAAGCTTTTCATGGCCTCCAGTAAGGTAAAAAGAAGAAGAGAGTTCTAAGAGGCAGCAAGTGGCCTGAGGGGGGTGGGGGGCAGGGGAGGGAGGGCAGTGCCAGACAGACCATGGCTTCTGCTGTATCTGTGGGCCATTTATCATCACTTCCTTCTCCTCTCCCCACTCTCAGACCAGCTGTGGGGGAACAGATAGAGGGACAGAAGAATATATCTTTACTTGTAAACCAGACAGGACATAGGGCACACATCAGCCGCTGTGTTTCTCTCCAGCCCACTCTGGTCCATACATAGCCTACGCACCAAACTGGCACTAGCCCATCCTCCCTGCTGGTACTGGAACAAGCCAGGCCAGAGACTCGGACCCCAGGGACCTAGGTCCCACCTTCCCAAGGAATCTATTTCCTGCGTTTTCCCCAGGGTAAAGGCCTTCGCCAGCTCCCTCTCCCAGGGGGCCCAGAGCAGGGACATTCTGACACTGCTTGGGTGATGCTCGCGAACCCTGGAAACCCCAGCCGCGTGCTCACCTCTCTCCAGGTAATTGTCCGATCCTCCCCCGCGCTCTGGCGGGGGAGATGTCAGTCTCTGTGCCCACCGCAGACACGCACTCTCTTAACTGGTGCCCTCCCTCCCCATCCTCTATCCACCGGCCAGACCCCCTACCTGGGGGCAGGCGCGCCCGGCAACATCGGCGGCGCTACAGGGCAAAGCGGGGCGTCTGGGGCCCAGCCTCAAGCCCGGACGACTTCCCAGGGGAAGAGAGGCTGCGCTGCAGCCGCAGCCACCGCGTCTCTCCAGATCTCGCCGGGGCTGCGGGAAGGAGGAAGGTCAGAGCCGACGAGGCGCGGGGAGGATGAGGGAGGAGGCTTGCACAGATGGGCGCAGATTAGAGAGGCATTTTTAGCCAGCCAATGGCAGCGCGGCGCAGGGCGGCGCGGTGCCTGCGCAGGTGGAAGCGCCCCGGCTGCTGAGGAGGCAGCAACCGGCTTAGGAGGTGCCCGGCGAGGGGGGGCCCTCAGCACCCCCAGCCCCCAGGCCGGCGCCCTCATCCAAGGGGGTGCTCCCTGCAGTGGCAGAGGGGCTGTGAGGCGGGTGGGTGCAGAGGGCACCCCTCTTTCACCCTCCTCCCCAGCCCTCCTGCAGGAGCTCTGGGGACCCGGGGTGTCTCTCCCCTCCCCCTCTCTGCCCTTTCCCCACCTTTTAGGACATTCCTCCCGCCTCTCTTAATCCTGCATCTTCCGGTACATGCTGGGGGTGTATGTGGTGGGTATGTTTGGTTTATGTGTGAGCAGTGCTCTGGAGTGACGGCCCCCTCCTCCACCCTCCCACCCATAACCCCTCAACCCACATCAGCTCCTCCCAAAAGTACCCTCTTGACTCCACAGGATAGTCAGTAACCCTCTTGTCCTGGGCCAATTGGACCTGCTGTCACCAAGACAGACTCCAGGCCATCTCCTTGGGGCTCTCTGGGGACTTGTTGTGACCCTACAACACCTTCACTCTTCCTGCCTTGAACCCTGAATGCTTCTGGAAGCCTGCATACTGCAGGGGGCACTGGGGCAGCTCTGTTCACTGCAGACATGCTAGGCACTGTCTTGGATTTATAAATAGGATTTATTTGACACCTATCTATTGAGAGCCTACTATGTGCCAGGTATTGATGGGGTCTGGGCTACAGCACAGTATGAAACAGACCAAATCTCTGCCCTCAGGTAGTTCACATCTGTGAGAGAAGACAGATGTTCAATACAATGAATAGTGTATAGAGTATGCTTTAAAGTGACATGCACAAAGTAGGAAAATAAAGCTAGAGAAAGGAAAAGAAAGTGAAGGTGGTCAGGGAGAGATTAGGTCCTAGCCATTCATGGGGAGTTGGGGGCACCTGCTGAATTTGATCGTAAATGCCTCAAGTAAGTATGCAGATTCTAGTTTGCCACAAACCTCACCATTCCCTAATGTTTGCATCTGGCTGGTCACACGTTTATATTTCCTGCCCTCCCTCTCCATCCTCCTTCACCAGAGGCACTGAAATTCATGCCCCCAGTGACTCTGAGGCATGCCCAAATGCAGCATTTATTCATTCAAAAAGAATCCTCAGACCACTGACTGCATATCAGATGTTAAGAGCCTGAAGGAACTCAATACTTGGTCAGAGAGGCCAGACAGCAGTACCTACGCCAAGGATGAACGGATAGAGGGACAGAAGAATATATCTTTACTTGTAAACCAGACAGGACATAGGGCACACATCAGCTGTTGTGTTTCTCTCCAGCCCACTCTGGTCCATACATAGCCTATGCACCAAGCTGGCACCAGCCCACCCTCCCTGCTGGTACTGGAACAAGCCAGGGTAGAGACAGCCAATGTTCTAGAGAAGGTCAGAGGGCTCTGAACTAAAGCCATCCAGGAAGGCTTCTTGGAGGAGGCAGCATTCCAATGGGGTGTTGAACAATAGCTGGGATTCTGACGAGCCAGATGGGGCAGGAGGTAGGGAAGAATTAGAGAGGCCTGCAAAGCTAGGGGACATTTGACAGGGTTCTGGGGCTTGTGTCCTAGAATATTTCTGGACATCTTCCACATAAGGGGTGTAGTAGTCCCACCTCCATCCCCACCGCAGCTGTTCTGGGTCCTAGCTGACCTCATCTCTACCTGGAATTTTCCTTTGCCCCAAGAGGAGGCATGATAAGCATGTGGAGGGGAAAATGGGAACATTGACTTTCCTAGTTACTTGTTTGTTGGGTGAAAATAGGCATGTTACTTAAACTCACCAAGGTTCAGTCTCCTGATTTTAAAAGCTCCTTATCTCCTTAGCTTAATAGTGACAAGTTACTTAACTGATCTATGCCTTGGTTCCCTTGTTCGGAAAATGGAGCAGCAGCAACACCTACCTCACAGGCTGTGAATCGGACACAAAACAATCCAGGGGAACCACTCAGGAGGTAAGTACTCAGTTAATTTCATTGTATTTATTATGATGATAATTGAACTTGCCTCATAGGGTTGTTGGCATGAGATAAAGCATGTAATTTGCCCAGCATTATGCCAGGATCCTAACAGTTGTGCAATAATTGGTGTCTATTATATCATCATTGACTACATGCACCCCCAAATATCTCCCTTTTGGTCTAGAACAGCACTGCAAAATTTCCCCATTAGACTGAACTTTCCTAATGTGATAGGCTAATTTTCCCAAAGGGTCTTAAAACGCTGTCTAGGATGGAAAGACTAAAAATCTGCCCCTCCCCTGCTAATACGTGGGCCTGGCTCAGTGTGTCATGAGGTGTTTTGGTGTAGACGGAATAGAACCCAGGAGGGGTATGTTTTGAAAAGGCAGTGAGGTCCAGAGCACTGGGCACCGACAGAGAGAGGACACTTAATGTCCCTTGGCAGCCAGGCATCTGGTGGAGGATGCAGGAGCGGGAAGGGCATGGGCATTCACAGGGGATGGGGGCATAATGCGAGTCCTGAGAGAGGCTAGGGGTTCACGGAAGCTGGAACTGTTTGGGGCAGTTGTATATAGGGTAATGGAGAGGGAGACCTGATTAGGCAGATGATGGACAGAGGGGGTGAGGGATCAGACAAGCCAGGCTTACTCCATTTGAACATGAGATACGAGGGCTTGGGTATAGCTCAGTGGTAGAGCATGTGCTTAGCAGGTTCAGGGTCCTGGGTTCAATCCCCCGTGCCTCCATTAAGAAAAATAATAGTAATAAATTTTTTAAAAACTATAAAAATTATAGGTAAAAAAGAAGTTGAGATGTGCCTAGCATTGAATTAAGACCTTAGCGGCCCCAAGTCCTAAAAAAAGTGAGAGTGGAAAACACCCCACACACACATATTCCTGCCCATGTGTAATCCAAAATAAAATGTTATTTTGGAAATTGACCCAGAACTTCTATGCTTCCTAAAATGAAACTAGCTTCCTTCTAGATTTTCTGGTTGCAAAACTGAACTGAAAAACTGAAAATTGATTCCCAGTTGAACTATCCTTCCCCGTCTCCCTCTCCCTCTCTTATTTTGTGCCCCTGTCCAGAGAGTAAGACTTTCTCCCATTTGCACTTTTGCAAACAAAGTTTGTTTTCACTTTTCCAAGTGTGTTTCCCATGTCTTATCTCCCTCAACAACTTACTTTTCTCAGTCCCATTAAGTTCTGACTCACCTGGGATTCCAGGGGCCTTTGCTCCCACTGAGAGCCCCAAGCCATCCCTTGGTCAGAGGCCTCCTCTGCTAGCCTCTCCATGCCATTCTGAGCAAGGAGGCAGGCACAGCTCTCCCCAGTGGAGCTGCAAATGCAGACATGACAAAGAGGATATGTAGACAGGAGGGCAGACCAGCACGAACAAGCGTGTGGAATCAACCAATCAATCAATGAGCAAATGGTCATTCATGTCATATGCTTAGCCTGAGAGACATGGAGGGAGGTGGGGAGGACTTAGATTCCCTTTTGTTCTGTCCAATATGGAAGGCTTCGAGGAGGTGAGGTTTTGAGTTGTTTCTCTACTCTCACCACATCTCTGGTTGGAAAGGGAGGGCAGGGAGTATGTCCCAATTTTGGCAGAACAGGACTCTGAGGCCCAGAGAGGAAAAGTGACTTGTTCAAGGTCACACAGCGCATCAGTGACAGAGCTGGACTAGAAACAGATCTGACTTCTGGTCAGGTGCTGTCGTCACCAGATTCCTCTACCTCCCCCGCAAACCTGCATGGAGGTGGGGCAGGACAATACGGGGAAAGCGACTGGCCCAATAGCCTCAGGGTGTTTTATTCTCTGAACTGCCTCCCAGCAGCATGCACAGAGGTGAGCAGGAGACCCCCAAGGGACCAAAGTACTTTAAAAAGATACTCACGGCCCCTTCTGCCCCCTCCTTATCTTCCCACCAACTGGCTTCATACTTGCAAGTTGGTTTCCCATCACCTGCCTGGTGGACAGAGCCTGTTGCCAGCTGCACCTTGAATCCAGGGACCAAGATATCAGGAGTCTTGGAATTGTGGTTTTCTCTGTCCATGACTCATGCCTGGAGGGTTAAAATGCCCCCAAGACATATGATCTTGATAAGGCACTCAGTCTTAGGAGGTGCCAGTGTTAGGACCCAGACTGCTTGAGAGAGGGTTCACCCCAGCACATACATAGGCAGTGGCAAACTCAGAGCACTTTTCTTGGACCAGGTACTTTGTAAGCACTTTACACATATGAACTACCAGGGATGGGTATTTACTAGCCCCATTCACCAACAGGGACACTAAGACCCAGAAAGGCTAGGTAATTTGCTCAAAGTCACACAGCTGGTCAGTAGTGGAGCTGGGATTCAGACCCAGGCAGTCTGGTTCTAAAAGCCAGGCTCATAATCACTCAGCTAGGAAAGAAGCAGACATTTACTGAGGGTCTTCCTGTGCATAGGAGGACTTTATATGATCTCATTTAGTATCATTATCCCCATTTTACAGATGAGGAAACTGAGGCTCAGTGGGTCCTTTGGTGAGGCTGCTCAAAGTATAAAAAGGGGGGACATTAGAGGTGATACTTAGGGAATGGGCGCTGGAACAGACCGCAGGGCCTGTATGTCATCGCCACCTAGTGGCACTGTACCTTAAATGCAGGCAGAATACCTAAGGAGATGCTGGTGTTAAATTCAACATCCACCAAAGATTTTGTGTTTGTGTTTTGGTTTTGGCTTTGAATTTCTGTATCCTGAACAACAAAGAGGTGTGGTTTGCTCATCATAATCTTTTATATTGAAGATGTGGTTGTGGGCAGAGTTTAGCATTTGTAATTTCAGCTTCAGAATGAATACCTGGGAGGAGGGGAATCTGTACCGTGTGTTGATTTTTTAG